GCTAAATCCCTTTAATCCAAACTCTGCTTAATGAGAGTAGCAAAAGTCCAAATTTACAATGAAGAGTCACCAGTGTAGCTGACAGAAAACTGGATTTATGAGAGACACCAACTGGACTGCAAGCCCAGTTACAGTTACTGTAATTACTTTTCTCCTGAGAAAAATGTTCCTTACAAGCTGTCCACCCTTAGAAATTGCTGAGCTCACTGCAAGGGGCTTAGAAGGCAGCAGCAAGAAGGATATCTTCTTTCCCAAGACACTTGGAAGGAAAACACTAAACAAATCGAGTGGGTTCAAGAGGTGGGTCTCCTGCAGGTATTTTCTCACTTCTGAGGTAAATTTTCCTTTGACTCTGGCAGCAGCAGAATTACAACCATGAATAGCATTGTGAAAATGCTATTCTGAGTTTTAACTGGTATCTGTGTGCACATTTGTATGTACAAGAAAGTATATAGAACCTGCTTTCTCATTACACATGTGTATTATGCAGACATAAATTTTATAATCAAATTATATATTTCATGTGTATTTTTATATAATGTAGTACTCCATATGACTAAGCAGAATTTTAACAAAAAATAACTTTCAAAATGCAGTTTACTTATATATTTTCATTTTTATTTGCACTGCAGCAGATCTGTAAACCTTTCCTGTAGACATGCAGTGATCATATCAAAAAACACTGCTTGAGGCTGGTTACATCAGCCAATTATACTGTTTTATTGCTTCCTTTTTCTGTGAGATTGGGCACTGAAAACAAATCAATTAATTATATTCCTGCATTTTTGCAATAAAGAGCCTTTCAGGATGAAGATTAGATATGCCTTCTATGCTGAAATGTTATTTTAAATTACCCTTTTCAGTTCACTTCTCACTTCCAATGTGTGATGCATGGGGCACAGCTCCATTTGTTTGCTGTTCCTACCAGAGTTTGAAAACCCTGAAGAAAAGACAACCCACATTTTTAAAAAAACATTTTCTAGAAATCTGTCAGAGAGGAGAAATGCATTGGGTGGAAGGCGTTCAGTGGGTGCATATGAGAGGCAGCCAGGAGAGTAGAAAATGGAATATTCAAGTACAGGAAGGGACACAAAGTGTGGAAACAGCAACAAAGCTAAAGTCAAGGAGAAGGATGCCTTCAGGGTGGAGAGGGCTCTTCCAGGCAGAGCCAAGGTAGGCTGGGATGAACAAAACAAACTCAGGGCTGCTGCACAAGACAGGACCAATGTGTGTCACTGCAACTTCAGGGAAGATTCTCACACTCCCACAAATATGGATGCCAGAGCACTTATAGGAAAAGTGCACAGAACCAGTGGGGGTGTTACTGCTGCTATTTGTGCTTCAGGAGGAAAAGGTCCTTCAAGCTCATGACCAAATTTATTCTGCCCCTTCTGCAGTGAAGTCAGACATATTCAAACCAACCTAATGTTATGGCAGATATTATGATGGGATAATATTCAATATTTGATGAAGAAAAGAGTATCAAAGTTACTATCTGTTACTGCTTTTATTTGTATAAAGAGGATCACTATCAAAAAGCAAAAAGTAAATATGTTTAATAAAAACGAGCGATGAGGCTGTCCCTGGTTGTCTAGAAAATGTAGCAAATTCCTTTTCAAAGTAGCCACTAGGTCAGAAAATAGACATTATAGTCTGAATTATTCTGCACAGCCATAAAAAAAAAATTGTGCTGGGAACAATTTTGTGACAAATCCTTTGTAAAGATTCTGTGGTAGTTGATGGACAAACAAGAGTGTTTTTCATCATTATTTCCCATAGTTCCTGGAAAAGGCTGTAGCCATTCAGCCTGCAAATATCACAAGTACATGCAAATGTGTGAGACACATGCATATACAAATATTTGGGTACAACATAGACAACAGTGACTGAAAGTTAAACCTGCCTGTTCTTGGACCTGAGCTTTAAAAGACATCCAAAAGAAAACATGAATGCTCTATCTTACAGAATTTCTCACCTGAAATTGGGAAGAGGCAGACTTACAAAATCTCAAATTCAAAGTTTGCTACTAGAATGAGAACTGCTACATAGGTAAAAACATAAGTAATGACCTACAAAAAACAAGACTGGTAGAATCAGAGTTCCACAGGATTCTCTGAGCAACATTTCATATACTAAATTTGCTGGGAATTTTAGAGCAACAATAATAATTTCATATTCAGTGACAAAGCTTGTCTAATGTTTGTATCAATCAATACTACAGGTAATGAACTTTGGCTTCCATCTGTTCTGCTCCTCTTTAGAGGTTCTCATCAATGTATGACCATAGTTATATAACATTCCTATAGTTATAAACATTTCCTATATTAGCTAAATTACTGTGAAAATTCATCAGAATAAAAGTTACCTTGGAGTGCACATCTGATAACAAAGCCTCTCCTAGTGAGAGTAAAACATCTTAGAAATCCAGTCTGTTCATCTAAACACCATGTTGTACCACCCTTGAGTAGATCTATGCTAAAAAATTGACTGCTCCCTTATAAAAAACCCAATCCAAACCAAAAAACCTACAATCTGGTGTTTCTTTGTATTAAACTCTTTGGTGAAACCCCAGCATACATAGAAGCAGGGTAGGCATTCTGAACACATGAAAACAACTAAGAATAAAGGGTTCTGTCAATAGAAAACCTCCAGGAACTTCTTCATTTTAGCCTGAAACTGCCCATTGCTGCTCTACTTGCAAAGCAGGAGAATGAGCATAATACATGTCATAAATTAAACATGAGAGAGATTCTTAAGGTTCCATGAAGGCATTTATTCACACTGAAAAGTAACATTTAGGTATTATCTTTTATGCTGGTGATGGAGTATTACTCATTCATCAGTTCTTTCCCGAGATCTTGCTATGAATATTCAGCTCTTGATGACAATAATGAGAATCCAAGGTGCTCTGCAATACTTGGACTCTGGTATGGCACCACTGTCATGCAGAGGAACCAGAGTGAACAAGGCTGCAGTACCACACATGTCACTCATAACTCATGTGATAGGATAGATCAAGCTCAACCTGCACGGAGTGGAGGACGAAAAGCGTCTTTGGAAACAGAAATGTCAACCAAGTTTGAACTTTGAAATCTGTCAGAAGGGACATGACTGCATATTCCTTTCTTGGATTCAAATTTCAGATGGCAGAAGAAGATGAGGGAAAGGAAACAAAATTTTCAGAACTGTCCAGAATGACAATAATGCTGAAGAAAATCTAGTTCTGTGAGGACAAAAGCTTCTTAAGGGGTCTGTCATGATATCTGTGAGGCTGGCAAAATACTTGGGTGTATTTCAATTATCCTTGTTATTATTGCTACTTCAAATCTGTCAAGTTCTCTTGGTTCTCAGCAAATGAGGAAAAGGGCTGGGATATGGATGTAAACAGATTCCATTCCTAAGCATCCTAGAGATGGTGCTGAGGTCAGCTATTCTGAACAGCACCATGTACTGTGTGACTCAATTCACACTTGCAGGAATAGTCATTAAAGAAATTAAAAAACATTAAAACCTTTCCTACTACCCTGTCTGCAAAACAAACTTCATCTAGTCTTGGTGATTCTGGTTGGACAGATTCAGGGAAAAAGAGTGCTAAGAGACATATTAAAGAATTATAAAAATACTTTAAATGTTATATTTTTAAAAAAAGGTTTTGAGTAATGTAAGAGCTCCTGCCTTTCACTTCAGAGCATATCAGACCAAGTTTGTGCCTCTTTTGATACTAAACTAAAATTTGAAAGACTTCCTGATAAGAAAATTTAAATATCAAAGTTAAATGGTTTCTGTGTAGGCTTTGGTCCAGTAAAATTGTGGAAAACTGCTTTTGTTAAGGACAGTTATTTAATGCTTGCATTTGTCATGTTAGTCTGCATGGAGTTGATGTCATGGTTGCTGAATAAGACAAGATATGGAAGTAATGAAAAATGTCATATGCACAACAACTACCAAGAGCATAAATAAATCCACAGCTTTGCTCAGCACTTGTGTTCAACTTCACAATCATAGACATATGTGCCACCATGATTTACACATTCATTGGCACCTTTGTTATCATCAATAACTTCTTTTTCATCAGATTTGCTTAAAGGGGGTAATAGCATGAATGTAGCTAACAAGTATTTCTGGCCACAGCACCAAGCAAAGGGATACCCACTAGGAGGACAATGTGCTGCATCAGATGTTAAACTGATATATAACCCAGCAGTGGGAGACACCAGCACTGATCAAACCATTTGTCCTTATGGGTTCCTTCCTACAGTTCACACTGTGAAGCAGAGTCATCCTGATCTCTCTAGGAGAGAGTACAGCTGGTCCTACTGCTGCACAGAATGTATTTACAGCATGGAATAAAGGAAGGAGATGACCCCTACAGTGTTAGCTCATCTTTAGCAGTGCAGAGTAAGGAAGCAATGTCTTCACTAAAACTATTTGTTAATTCTCTGGCTGAAATGCAACTGGGAGGAATGGGAAGAGAAAATGTAGACTCAGACACAAACAGAAGCTTTGGGCTATCCATTATATCATCCTGGCTAAAATTTTTACTGTTGGATGATATTTCCTTGCTGTGGAGTTTCAGGGCCAGGAAGTATTCTTTTTATTAATTTCTGTTCTTCATTCCTTTTTTGAGGAGAGCCCTTTCCAGAGCTGTGGTTTGCACCATTCTAAAGGTATGGTCAGCGGTCCTTGGCTGGTGGGCCGATAACTTTGGCCTACATTCTGACTGAAAGCAATCTCTTCCCCCTTCACTTTGAATAAGCTCAGCTCATTCTCCAGTGTACATCCAGACCATGTAAGTAGTGCAGTTCTGTGACAAATGTCAAAAGCAAAACTATCCAGAACAGTTGGATAGTTGGTCCAACATTTAGACATGAGCGGTCTAGGATACCTGTGTTGGCACTGTTACACAAATAGGGAAACATACAGGTAATTCTTAAATGCAACAGGATGATCTTAAGACTGGTTCATCAACTCCCTTTTTCTCAAAGAATTTCAGTGTTTACCTTCAGTCCTGTCTGGTAGTTTCCCACTTTTGCTTGTTGTTCCAGTGTTGACAGTTTCAGACGAGGTGCTCAGTTTGGTGTTGGGGTCTCGCTTCGGTTTTGGAGGCGGCTGCTTTCGAGAGCTGCTGCTTTCATCATCAGTTCCTCCAACTGAATGAAGAGACTGGGATCTGACAGTGAAGCCACTGGAGCAGGGGTGTGGCAGTCTGTCCTGAGGAGCAGGCATTGTCATAAATCCCATGCGGAAATGTTTCCCCACGTAGCTGCCTTCATTTCCTCTTGCTACTTCTCCACCTATGCTGTAAGAGAAAATACAAATATAAGCAAAAGGTCCTCCTTTGCCTGAATCATGTCTGGAACCAGAGTCTCAGTTCTGCCTGTGACAAGCAGATTATGTTTTTGAATTTGAAAACAAGAATTGCTCTTCTCTGGAAAGAAGATGACTACTAGAAAAGTCTAGTTTTCAATATAAGCTGCCAGTAACTGAGATATAGATACACTGCTAAGCACTCAGAATTTTACAAAAAGAAATCAAGACAAGCTTTTGTCATGTTTCATAGTATTGTAACTAGAAATTTTCTACAGAACAAATTTCAAACATTGAAAGTCAGAACTGAGTTTTCAGGAAAACAGGAGACTGTAAGTAGGGCAAAGAATAACACTTTAGAAATACAACAGGGGGTATTGATCCACACCCCCTGACACTCATCTTTGACTACAGATGCTCATGTAGCTTGGGAAACAAGGCTCATAGCATCCAATCAATCTTTTCCCTTGAGACTAAAGAATGGTAGAGAAGAAATATTCTAAAAATTACTTGGCTATAGGAAATGCAACATCACATCAAATCCCCATAAATCTGCAACACAAGCAGCTTCAGACTAGTAAATTACAAATGTAGGAGATGAAAAGGCCATGGACACCAGGTGGGACACCAGGAAGAAAATAACCTCCAGCCATTTAGAAACACAGGTAAAGAGGAAGGAAAGTTCAGTTGAAACAAGTGCTACCATACCAATCACTGCATTTTTCTGTGGGTGGCTTGACTGAGAACTTGATATTATTCCTGTTCCACTCATGCTTATCAGTTCTGAAAAACAGCTCTTACTGGTGTTTATACTGCAAACCAACAGCACATTTCAATTCAAGCAAGTCAGTGACTATGCAAAGAAACTCAGCAACACACACAGGTCAATGTGGGCCTGTTTGCAAGGAGGTTTGAAATGGTACCACTGTGGGCACACAGAAATGTCAGCACAAGAACTGTGAAGCATCAGAAAGCTCTAATTAGCTCCTGTTTCCCCTTCACACAGAGTAAAGCTCTGAGTGGGGTAAGTGCTTCTCTGAAAGTTTCTTACTTGATGTTGCCTTGGTCTGGTGAAGTTTGTATGGTGCTGGAATACATTTCCTTTTTAAAAAGAGAAGAACATTTCTCAAAAGTGTGAAGAGTAAGCAAGGCCACCTCATTTCCACCCCATCTTCACTGTAGGTAAAACACAAGTTGCATTGAATTGTCCTAAAGGTTTCAGACTGGCAATGAGCAATATACAGCCTTGTGCATGATAAAGCAGAACTTTTGTTTGCTTATTACTCTCCCTGCATTCTTATCCCATTTCCTCTCCAAGTGGAGATATCCACTTTCAAAACTGGTTAACAACAGAACAGGTCTAACTGACCATGTGCCACTTTCCAGGGGCACTGACACCTACCCACATATGTAAATGTGTGCACACATGCCTGCCACACGTGTTCACACACTGGTCCATGCTCACAGCCAAGTTGTTACTAAATCCTAATTGGCATCAATTCCAAAGGGATTTGCAGCCAGAAAGATCAAGAGGTAGAACTCATTAATTTGAATATTTCTAAAAAACCTGTAGTTAGTTTGAATGAATAACTATGCCTCTACTAATCTTTCATAAATTGTTCTGAAAATAGTATAATCCTCTGACACTGGACTACAGAAAGAGCCTGTCATATTATTTAAAGAAGATTACTATCCAAACATGATGAAGAATGCAGGTGGGGAGTCTGCTTCCTTTCTTAAGTCTATTGGATAATCATGTTTAGCAAAGAAAATTTCAGTTTGCCATGTCTCCAATGCTACAATTCTTAACAGTTTACATTATTTAATTACTGCATTTACTTCACTGCTGTGTGAAGGTGTTTGAACCATCCACTATAAGCCAGGTTCTTATGGCAAGCTGGATGGACTTGCACAAATCCCCCTGAGGTGATATATTTCACCCTTTTCCTAAGAATACACAGAACTGCATTTATATGCAGCAGGACGGGTTTTCTGCCAAACTGCTGCATCTTGTATTCCAGAAATTAAAACTTACAAAATGTACTCCTGGTGTCTAAATGCACTGTATCATTAAACAATTAAATCAAATCCTTCTCCCCTGCTTGATTTTTCATTCTTTACTTAATTTCAACATAGATGAAACCCTCACCTGCTTCCTACACTTTCTCCAGGGCAAAGAGCCTACAGCCCGGTGAGAGAGAGGTTGTGGGTACAGATGGGAACAGAACTTGCTGCTGTGCAGCATCACAGCTGGAATAGATCTGGTCTTGCTTTCCTATATGCTCTGCTCAGCTACCAGGCAAAACCAGCACAGCACCATTTCCCTGTTTTCAGCCACATTTAAAGGAGTCTTTGGATGCAGGAGCTAACACTCAGCTGCTGGATAAGCTCTGTAAACCAAAAGCTGAAGAAGATTACTCTCCAATCTTTGGTCCTGGGCCCTAGTCACTGACCAGGATCACAACAGACTTAGGTTTGTTTCCTCCACTGGTAGCAATTCCCAGTATAGGGCAGTGTGTGTCTCCCAGCTGGGTCTGACCAGCTCACACCAGCACAACACACAGTGGGATGCCAAGTTCACACCTCAGCAATGCAGACCAAAATCCCCTGTGTGTAAAGAGAAAGGAATAAATCCAGACTCACACCAAGAACACAAAATCAAAAGCAGGATGGCAGATTTCAAATGTGGCATCCCCTGCCCTCAGGTAGCAGCATCCTGAAGGTCCATTTAGACTTGTGCAATGCACAGTCTTGCTGTTGTTACATCATGAACCCAGACAGAATGAAAGGATTTATTTATATACTCCTCCTGCTCACAGCCACAGGAATTGGCTGGGGCTAGCATGTGTCCCACTTCAGCACAACAAGCTGACAAAGGTTTACACATAACTTGCTGTGCAGCAATGACTACAAAGACAGTGAGAGAGAAAGGAGCTGTGTAGGTCTCACTCCATTATTTCTGACAGGTAAGACTCTGTGCTCCTCATTGTACTGATAATGAGTTCTATCTCATTTCAAAACTGTATTATGTGAGTTGCTGCCAGTATTATATAGTTTATTAATATATATGGAAATGCAGATTTGGATTATTCCTCTGGGAAGTTTCAATTTGAACTTGGCCAGATCAAATGCTTCTCTGACAAAGAATTACAGCTTAAATAGCTGTTAAAAATGCAAGACATTTGTCTGCAAAGAGAGCCATGATTATATAACAACAAAATGAATCACATGATTGCTCACGTTAAACACATCAAAGCTGACTTGGTTCTGAAAATGCACTTCAGTGTTTGCCCAGGTCTGGTGACTGATGCTGCCATGGGTGAAGAAAAGGGCAATGCCAAGTGTCAGACACCTTTAAGAAGATTGTTGTGAACCATCTCTCCCTTCAGAGCCACGTTACAGCTCCAACCCCACCTCAGCAGGCCCATGCAGACCATCGAGTGCTACCAGGTTACACACTCTCTCCTTGGGGGCACTGCAAGGGAAGCAAGATCCCATCCCTCTCCCTCTCCCACACAGTGATGGAATTAAATCACTACAGCAAATACCAAAACAGTCAGATCTGTCTTAAACCAGTTACAGCAGATTTCAGCTTTCATTTCTAAAATATGAACAAGAGATCTGACTGATGGATCCAATGAGTCTCATTACAGCTCCATACAGGTTTTGTCTGCCAGCTGAGTTTTTTGAGGTCAGAGCTGAGCTAGCATTAAACCACACCAGCCTGGCTGCTCCTACAGCCGGCTGGCATGTAGGCTGTGGTCATGGCAGGGCTGCACACTTCACAGCTCACTTCTGGTGCTCTGCCTGCTCTTTTCCACAGGGCAGATCCTGGAGTACTGATGTAACTACAGCAGAGAATAATGGAAGAACATCTTTGAAGAACTACAGAGGAGAAAGTCTTTTATATTACTAATTTCACTACATATCACAAGAGTGAAAGTTACAGAAGACTAAACATTAGAAATGAACACAGAAAGTACTCTAAATGCAAACAGCATGGGGAAGGTCATGTCTACCTTGCTTTGCCATGAGTCATAATGTGCCTGCTGACTCTGAACATTTTTTCAAGTTGTTAAGTTAGAAAACTATGGCAAATAAATTTTCATCACATTGATGAAAAATATATGGCAAACAAAAAGTATGCAGAAGCTGTCTGCATCAATCAGTGCGGTCTTTTTAGTTTGCATTGTTCCTATTTAATATTGCAAAGAACAATTTTAATTTGCTGTGCTGTTTCATTACTTGGTCCAGATAGAAACTGAATTAATTCCTGGAAAAAAATTAATAGTTGTATGAAAACTTTTGTTTACTTAGTGTCACTGTTTAACTATAAACAAAATAGAATTGAATTCCTCAGTGCAGCTGTAAGGAGTAGAAATCTTGGACTGAGACCATGAAGTCAGAATACCCTGGAGATAGATTTTCTTCCTAGCTATCTATCAACTCTTGTTCTTGGTTTTCATGCAAAAATTCTCCTATCAGTTTAAATTTACACTGCATTATTTTCATCCCTCAGGCACTAAGAACCCCTTCATAGTTCTCCTCATCTTTGCATGGTTTCCTTTTTTCTTCCTGTGCTGCTTTACATTGGATTTTCTGCTTTTTTGGCACAAGTTCAAAAAGGGAGCTACACCTGATTATAAGATTTGACCTCCAGAACAGGAGGAAGAGGGATTTGCTCTGCTGGGGATGTGTCATCTTTGAAGGTATTTTAATTTCTTTGCTGTGATACATTCCAGTCAGGGACCACAGAAGGTCACCATCCTTCTAAGGGTTGGCATTCCAGGTAGCCAAGAGAAACCATTTCAAGAGCAGCTGCTCGCTCCTCTTGTACTTGAAGAAGATTGACCACAGATGCTGGTTCATTTGCTGGCAGAACCTGAGCTGGGAGTCTCTGCAGGCTCCTCTGAGGAATGGGGAGAGCTGGGAGTTCCAGGGCAGTGAAGCACGTGGATGGCCAGGCTCCTTCCCTCCGGGGAGCTGCAAGCC